GACCCTTATCGTTAACCAACTTATTATCTAGATTTCCATTTTCCATCATTCTGAGTAGTTCTTATCATATAAGCCTTATACGATAAGAACTGCTCCAAATAATGAAAAATGGAAATTTAGTTAACAGTAACAGTTGAATGTATAGAGGTGTTTTAAAAAAAAACGAATTTAAGTTTACAAAGATCTATGATTTGAAGTTGACTGAGGAGGGGCAAAAATAGCCAAAAACATGTACAAACATTAAATACACATATCAACTAAATAAAAAATGATGAGATTTGCCTTGTGTCCAAGTGAATACACTATATAGTTGGTATTCGAGTTGAAAAATAAGTAAATATATTTGTCTGTTAACTATATCTTTGTTTCTTTCTTAACGTAGACACTCTTATTGCATTTGGAATTATACTTAGGATATTTTTAATGAGAAAACATAGCTTTTACTAAGTATAAGTATAATATTTGAAATATCTGTTATGGTAGCTGTTTATTTGTTCATACATATATATGTCTCTTTAATCTGAACAATTACAAGAATTCTGGTAGACTATCTTACAGCCTTTAGGTCAGGAACCTAAATGTAACCTGTATCTTTATTGAAGATACAGGTTACATATACATTTCGGGCTTATTTTATCTTTAACCCCTCTTCAGTGCTATACCAAAAAATTTAGAACAATCAGTAATATAACAATATAATGCATGTAGATTATATTCTCTGACATAAAAAACTATTTTATATACATCCACTTTAAAGGTAATGTTTTTAAAAAAAGAAAAAACTTCCTTGTATTATAAAAATATTTATATATTAAATTTTTATGCTTTATTTATGTTTATTAAATAAGGATTGGTGAATAATGTAAAAAAAAACCAGAAGTGTCATATTAGTGTGGCAGAAGGATTTGTAAGAAAAAATTGTGGAAATCTTTTTTTTGATATGATAAAATAGTTTATGTCAGAGAATATAATCTACATGCATTATATTGTTATATTACTGATTGTTCTAATTTTTTTGGTATAGCACTGAAAAGGGGCTTAAAGATAAAATAAGCCCGAAATACATATGTAACCTGTATCTTCAATAAAGGAGTAAGATAGTCTACCGGAATTCTTGTAATTGCTCGTATTAAAGAGACATATATATGTATGATATAATATTTGAATTTTGAATCTAGTTATATGTATGTTTGCTTAATTTAAAATATTTGTACAGTAAAACTTTGATTTAACAGAGAAAATTTTGTGTGTCATATGAGCCATTGATTTTGAAAGTAGGGCAAGTCCATTTTGTGAAAAAAAAATAGTTAAAGCTAATTCTTATTACAAATTAACATAAAATTTATGTTTTTAATCAATTACCAATAAATATCTTTTAATGTCAGTATAAATTCGTTACTAGTAATTTATATCATCAACGATATTTATTGTGAGTTGATTTTGAAAGTGAGGTAAATAAAGCTACATACAAACCAATGCCAAATGCTATTGCCAAATTGTCTCATAATTTATTAATATTATAGTCGTTTCTAGCCCAATAATATTCAGCATTGGTTGGTGTGTAGCTTTATAATATATCGGGTTTAGTAATGATGTTTGTTTTCCACTCTAAACAACAACAGCGTGGGAGCACGACTCTCTGTCACCCAAGATTATTACAAATTAATACAAAAATGTCACAAACAATGCATTTTTAGTACATGAAATGAAAAATGAAGATTTCTATTCAACCAAACCTCTGGAGAAGGCAATTTTGAAAAAAACAAAAAATACTGATGGAGAAACTCAATTAATTGAATATTTTCTGGATAAGATTTAAGAAATGCACCATATAAATTGTTTTATAAAACATCAATGGAAAAAGATTCGCATTTTAAAACTCTTGATTTATCATCAAAATGGGATAGGCCAAGTAGTTTCGGAAAAATAGTATTATCATCTTTAAATGCAAAAAAATAGGCCTATTACTAAAGAAAAATATAAAGATATGATGGATTTATTATCCTATGTACCACCCATTCATCATGAATACTTTAAAAATCTGCACCATCTAAGCCAGGGGTGTCCAACCTTTTTGTTTCTCTGGGCCGCATTGGAAGAAGTCAAGGAGTTTTGGGCCACAAGTATATATAATATATACTTGTAATTTCCTTAAATATTCGGCCACAAGTATATATAATATATACTTGTGGCCGAATATACAAGTATATTTAAGGACTAACATGTGTAGATAATAATAATAAATATTATAACTTTATCAAGAAAAAAAATATTTTAAAAAATTACTTCTACAGACACTTTCAATTTTTACTTAGAAATAGATAAATTCATTTATTGTAAAAGAAACAAACGAAAATTTATTTGAAAAACACAAATATTTGTTTTATTTGTGTCTCTAATTAATAAAAACGACGAACCACCATTTTGAAGTGCATTTTTATTCAATTTATATAATTATAAATAATATGTAACCGAAAAAGTAGCCAAAGCGCCAAATGATATTTTTTACGTCAAACCAAAAAAAGTAGCCACATTTGGCCCAATGTAGCCAAATCTCGCAACGTTGGAAGAAATACTAAATAAAGCTGGAGCTGTGAATCAAAGGATTATAGACCCAAGTGCGGAAAAAAGAGGCAAAAAACAAAAGATAAAGAAGTGAAAAAGGTTGAAAAATTATGGGTCCATATTTGCTTAACAGAAGATCTATTTAACCTTTCTCACTACTACATCTTTTGTCCTTTCTCATCTTTCCCTCCTTTTCCCAAATTTGGGTATATAATTCTTTGAGACACAACTCCAGCTTTATTTAGTAATCCTTCCGCATTCACACATCTCCAAGTATTTGAAATATTTTCTTTCCACTCAAAAATAAAATATGAATAAAGGTTTACGGCTTTGTGAAACTTTTTTTTGAGTTTATGCCATTGAAATAAATAAATAATAAAAAATTAAAACATTTGTAGGTTTTGTTTACATGTTTATTGGGCCGCATTGGAACTTGCCTTGGGCCGCATGCGGCCCGCGGGCTGGACACCCCTGATCTAAGCTAAGAAATATAATTATATGCATGCAACTTATTACTGAAAATTTTTTTTTCTTATTTTCTCTACTTTTTCTTACAAAATTAAATTTATTTTTTGTTTTATTGTAGCTTTTTGAAAGAAGTATGAAATGTTGAAATAAAATAAATAAGTAAATATATAAAATATTCTATTTTTTGTTATTATAATTATATTCCATTCAAAGAAAATCAATATTTTCAACAAATCATTGCTTTTGAAAGTGAGGCAAGTCTATTGGCGCATACCAAAACCATGATTTTTTCACCTAACATTATTGCATATTAAATTCACATGAAATAAGACTACAAAAAATATAAAATAAATCTATTACTGCTTATGAATATTTTTAAACCTATTCAAATGCAAACCATTAAATATCCAGCAATAACATATAATGGACTTGCCCCACTTTCAACATTTCACAATCAACATCTCATATGTGAAAATTAACACCCAGTTAATTTTAAAATGTTTTTATATGTAATTAAATTAACAGAATCCAAGAGTCACCACTCTTAAGAACATAATTTATTTGTTTAGTTATATACAATTAAAGCGTATCTTCCAAAAAATGTTTATTTATTTCAATTTATATCACATACTTGTTTATTACAGTGTCAGACTCATGGTGAGTACATAAGCAATAATACATATAGAAGGCTTTTCTGGAAAGTACCTATCATATGTACTTAATTTTAATTACACAAACATAGCTACATAAATAAAAATAGATAAACTAACTAACTTCTCAATTTTTTAACATATACCTTTGGAAAAACCTACTTTATTGACTTTAACGGACACTTCCTCACCCAAATTAGTCCATCAAATCATAATTTTACTGTATTTAGTTTTTTAAATTTTTGATTTTTTTAAATCTAAATAGTTCAATTAACAAAAGTATAGTTTAGAAATATCACAAACTATACACTCCTTAGTTTTATTTTTCACAAATTTCCTATTTCTATATTCATGATTTTAAAAAAATCCAAATACAAAGATTTGTACATTTGTGATTGATTTTCTTAGTACTCAATTAATTGTTGGCCAAAGTATTGAGATTCATATGTTAGTGCAATACTTTTCACAAAGACCACTAATGGGGAGAGACAAAAAGTCTGGCCTGACTTTGAAGCATCATAACTTTTAAATTCTAAAAGATAATTTAAAAATCTTCACGCCAAAAATTACATCATTACACATGCTCAGTTACAGCAAGTGACGTTTTTGAACATTTGTGAGTCAGTAAGAAAAATGGCTTTAAATATGGAAAACAAGACCAGGAAGTGGAAGGAAGCTGATTGTCATGAATGCTAAAAACCAAAGAGCATTGTAACAAATGTTTGACAACAAAGATACAGTTAGCTAAGTGAAGGCAGCTAAAAGGTTCAATTGTCATTGAACATACATAAGGAAGACATTTAAGATGATAGTCATAAAGAAAAGGAAGAAGAGGTCCTGAGTACACTGATGAAAAATTTACAAAATTCCAAATGGAATGCAGATGGCTTGTAAGAAATTTTGGAAATAAAATGTTGATTTTGAATGATGAGAAATACTTTCCTCTCTCTGGCATAAAAACACCAGGAAATGAAATTTACTATGCAAGCACTGAAAATCAAGCTTCTCTCGAAGTGAATTACAAATTTAAGAAGAAAGTGAAGCAAAAGTCACTGTTGTACTTTGTCATTTAATGTCAATATTATGCAAATTCTCAGAACTCATATCATAATCAACACATGTCAATGCTAAATTATTTAAATTGTTAACTGAAATAAAAACTGTTTATTTTATTGTTATATTTTAGTATTCTATTTTAAAAGCTTAAAAAATATTATTTCAATATTTAATTTTGTTAATTTATAGCAACAACATTAAACAGGATAGCTAAATCAGCAAAATAAATCACTGACTATAAATTTAATTTAAAATACTATTGATATATGACTTAAAATCACTTACCTTCCTTCAATTGTATCCTCTTCTAACAATACTCCATTACAATTTTGTTTTGCTTCCAGAAAAACATAACTATCAACATTAGGTTTTTGACCTATATATAAATAAAAATGTTAATCATCAAATTTTAATATTATCATGCTTATTATTTCATATTTAAAGTGTGGGTTATCAATTAATATTGCATATTGCATTCTCTACAATAACAAATAATTTTAAATGAGCTTACCAACAGCAGCCATATCCAAATTTTGCATGTTCAATGGCAAATGTTGCAGGATAACATTATGTAAATAACTTTTAATACTGGTAATATAACTAAAAATGCAAAAAGTAGAAGTTATTTTATTTAAAAAAAGTAACGTCTCTTATCAAACAAATTATTTTATTTAACAATAACATAAACTATTTTAGAAATATATTTATTCTAATAAACAGCACAGCTGCAAGATTAGAAAAGTTATAGACAGTACTCTCTAATAGCAAGTACACTGTTTATTGAGGAAGATAAAGCTTATGGTAAACTGAAAAATTACACATTATACTCTGCATCATCATTCTTAGCTTATGTTAAAATAAAGTGCGAGTGTGTTGCATGTTGCATTGTTGTTAGAATAATAAGAAAGTGAAAACGTTATGAATTTATTTCATTAATAGTTACCCTTGAATAATAATTGCACCCAATTTCCAAAGAATACAAATAATAGAAGCTGCAAAATGTATTAATTTTGTAACTCATCTACCTATGTTGATAACAATAACTAAATGATAACATTAAGCAAAGAAGTAAATAAGTCTATGCAGTTAAAATTTGGGTTTTATGGACTCTACATTAAAAGGATATTAACATTAACTGTAAAATAATTAAAATCCGTAGATTAACAATAAATAAAAAATTTAAAATCATCTTTCTTTCCCTTCAAATAATATATAAGGTTACATTATTGTTTTGTTTATTACAGTTATGTAATAAAAATATTATTAATGTAAAATTTGATAAAAAATTTTACTTATCTATTGAATTTCTTAGAAGTTAGTTTTAATCATTTATATTTCAAAATCAGTGCCTGAATGTCATCAATCTCCTTGTGTGTGTATGTGCATGTTTTGGTTTGTCCACTATAGAAATTAAAAGAGAAATGTGTATAGAACTGAAAAGAATCTAATAGTATGATTTAAAATTACTAAAATGGCACTTCTGCTTAGTTATTCGTTAAAATGCACCAAAATATAATCACTGGGACAGTTCTATTCCTATTCCAATGTACCATACATACTTCCTGCTGTTCATAATTTGGAGATATTGGGGACTGAGAATTTCATGATTTCTTATGAAAATAAAACTCAAAATTGTGATTCAATATTTCTATGATTATTAAATGCTGAATCATCTACATCTGAATGCAGTGCATTCAGATGTAGATGATTTTTGTGTGTCAATATTAACCAGTGGAAAAACAATATTAAAAGCTTACTTCCTTTTTTAACCTGGGCAATGCTGAGTCTGCCTGCTATTTTAAACATAAATTAAGCACAAACAACATTAAATAAACTAAAAAGTACAGTTAAACAAAAAATTAAAGACAGTCTGCCCAAAAAGGGGCCACCATTTATTTTTTGTGTTCCAGACTTCACATTCACGGCGACAGACCTTCCTTTATAGCTCCCAAGACGTCTGTATAACACCAGTTCCTTTTTTAAAAAGATTTTTTAATTGGATGTAATTGCGTTTTTTTAAAGGATTGTTTTTTAAATTCTGGCAGCATGTAGCCTATAAAGGAAGGTCTGTTGCTGTGAATGTAAAGTCTGGAACACAAAAAATAAATGGTGGCCCCCTTTTGGGCAGACTGTCTTTAATTTTTTGTTTAATAATAATAATCTCCATGGGACAAAAAATTTACAAAAGTAAAAAGTACAGATTTAAATCAAATACATTTTACTTCTAATAGAATTTTTTTAATGCTATTAATGTTACTATAATTATTTCTGATATTCTTATTAACTCCTTCTCAGTCACTGTTGCATCACATACAGGATTGTTGAAATTAAACTTCCCCAACTCAGATGGCTGTGGTGAGTGTTCTACTGCTTGAAATGAAACAACATTTGGACAATGGATACTTCAGATGATGCCCTCACCATTTATTCAATAAAAATTTTGTACAAGAAGTCACACATAGGTGGTGTTGGAGTTACACAACTGGGATCCAAACCTGTTCCATTATTGGAGAATGGTATCTTAACATGCTAATGACTTTTTGATCCCAGAGCTTCAACAAAGCCTTCATGATACTATATTCATGAAAGATGGTGTACCATCCCATATTCCTTGTTCTGTTCAACATGTGTTAAGGTAGAATTTCACAGATGAATTGATAATCAGTCATTACTTCCCAACAGTTTAGCCTCCTTGTTCACTTGATTTTACTCCATATGACTTTTGGCTATGGAATTTTTTTTGAAAGACCAGGTCTATCGTGAAAGAAATGCATCTGTGTCAGATCTAAAGGACTGAGCTCATTGGCATGCTCTTGTGATTAAAGTAGACTCATTGCATTCAGAAGTGGAAAACATGCTTTTGTGAATGGAGCACATATTGAACATTTGTCACCATGATTTGCATAGCTCCACACCACCTATCAGTGACTTCTTTTACAAAATATTTTTATTTAATAAATGGTGAGTGCATCATCTAAAGTACAGTACCTGTTGTCCAAATGTTTCATTTCAAGAAATAGAACACTCTCCAGAGTCCTCTGAGTTTGGGAAGTTTTAATTTTGACAACCTTGTACATCCATGTACAGTGATCACTTTTTTGGCTTTGATGTATGTTATATGTTTGGTGTGAAAAATGTTTTAGAAATTTTTATTTTAAAGTCTCTGATCTATTCACTGTTGTTATATGTTTTTCACTATTTCTCCAATAGATGACATTATGATACAAAAATTATTTAGTTATTTTTGACAGGATAATTTCATTTTGTTTTGGTATCTGAAAGCATATCTGTAACTTGTTTCTGACAGCTTCTGAAATGTTATAGTTTTATAAGCTGCTGAGCTCAGAAAAAATTATTTTATTCTTAGAAAAAAATAATGTGTAGAGAATTTTTTGTCTATTTTTCATCAAAATTAATTATATATCAAATATCAATGATAAAAAAATTGATAATTTTTGGATAATCAACCTGAAAAAATAAGAAGGAACTTGCATGTTTTGAGAATGGTAATTCTAATTATATTATCCATGATTACAATATGCAAAATCTACTGTATTAATAAAAGTATAAATAAATACATTGTATTCTATTTAAATTTGCAAATCATGAAACATATACTACATATATGTTTGTTTATAAGATATTGAAATTACAAAATCTGCAAAACATTGAAGATATAACTTTATATTGTTAATCTCTCAGCTGTTGAATAAAAAGTTTTATTAAACAACTGAATATTAACAATTAAAAAAAATATTTTTTCAATATTTTGCAATCTTTTATAAATTAAAAACATTTACTATCAATGTTCTATGTTCAATTTACATAAAGGATGAACATAGAACTTGACATCATAGTTTATTTATGACTACTATGATGCTAAGCTCTGTATACTTTCAATAATTTTTTGTTTTATATAATCTCTTATTTGAATATTTGTTCATTAAATAAAATGCTTGATTAAAGCTTTTTTAAACTTTTTAAAAAACATTATATTCTTCTATTTTCTATTGGTGCATAAATTATTTGTATATTAAAATCCATTAAAATATGATAAAAATAATTGTTTAGCATGTAAATAAAATACAAAAACACAAATGAACCAAGTTTCCTCAAAGAATAAATCTGCTCTAACTTATATTTAATATGTAGATGACAAAAAATAATATAAATTTATTTAAAATAAAAACAACATGTTTTGATATTACTGCTTGTAACCAAAAATCAAATAAATTCAGTCAATTCTTAATATTTGACTCTCAACTACAGTAGAGCATCGATTATCCAACCCCCGATTAACCGTCACCTCGGTTAACCAACCGCGTTCTAGTCAGCAAATTCAAATGTCTGCTAGTGATGTGGCACTACAATATTTAGCTATGTCTTGGCTACTTTAATAGTACTTTTACATGTTTTAGCTGGCAACACTGGCTCAACCATGAAAGGGAGCCAGTATTTAAACAAGGCTTAATTTTTTAATTTTTAACGATACAATAGCAATGATTATTATTTTTAAAAAATTTTTGTTAGGCTTAACATCGATGAAAATTCAACGCGAAGTAGGTTAATAGCAATATACTAATATACTAATTACATGGGATATAATAATATACTACACTAATAATAAATTTTTTCATACTTTTCGGTTATCTGACTTTTCAATTATCCAACCAATCCCAGTCCCCAACTGAGTCGGATAATCGATGCTGTACTGTATAAGATCATTTGCAAGTTACTCTAACTTAAACTTCAACTTTCAGTGCCTAAACTTTTAATGACCTGAATTATTTTTATTTAGGCTTCATTTAAATAAATCTAATGCAAATACAATTACATGTAAATTAATATCCTGCATAGTGTTAATTTTTGGTAAATTTTAATAACAAAAACATGTGAAATATCTGCAAGACTGGCTGATATAGAATATACAGTGATGCCTTGGTTTTCATTGATTATCTATCTGAAAACAATCAGCGAAATCCAAAACCAATGAAAACTGAGGCAATTATTTTCATATGAATCAATGTACAGTGGTACCTCAGGATACGAACGCCCCAGCATACGAACTTTTCAGGATACGACATGAAATTCAAACATATTTTTGCTCCACGGTATTACTGCTCAGTTTAATGACATTTGCCTAAGTCATTTTAGAAACATTTTAAAAAGTATGCAAAGCCAAACCTCTTTGGATAGATATTTTACCAAGCGACCTCTATCCAGTGAAAGCAGTGGTGTAGCTTAGTGGGGGCAGCAGGGGCAGCCTGCACCGGGCAGCATTTTTAGGGGGCGGCAAAATTTCACAATAAATAATAATAATATCTTGTAAAAATTTGAACTATTTGATTTCATATATTTGTCACACCTACGATTCAAACCGATTGAAATGAGCATGAAATTTTTCATTACTTATTCTGTGATGAAACTGAATTTTAGTCTTTTAAATTGAGATACCTAAATAAGGGGGCAGTGAAATTTTCCTTTGCCCCGGGTGGCTGACACCCACGCTACGCCACTGAGTGAAAGTGCTGGTGGAAGTGAAGGAAAGAAAGCAAAAAGCAGTGAATAAAAAATTTAAAAAATATATAAAACACAAAAGTTAAAAGATTAGTGTTAAGTTATTTTTAAGTTATTGTTACATTGTGTTATGTAAGTTAAGGTTTAGTATCATTTCCCTTCTCCCTTTCCTCTGCCATCAGTTTACACCTCCACCGTCATCTATCTTCAAAAATAAAGTGTAAATAAAACTACATTTTTTTAAATCAATTATTATTCTGTTATGGTTATTTATACATTTACAACTACAAAACGCATTTTTCAGTGTTTTCCTTACTATAGTTATTATTATTTTTTTAATGTACTACTTAGCTTTGAGTGTGTTTTTCGTGTTGGAATGAATTATTTGGTTTTACATGTAATCATATGGGGAAAAATGACTCACCTTATGACATTTTCATGATAAGATCTCCCTTTCAGAACAGATTAATTTCGTATCCTGAGGTACCACTGTATATCCAATTAATCCATTCTAGACACTCCAAAATACATACCAAAAACACATTTTATAGAGCATAAATATAGTGTTTAATACTAAAAACAATAAGAAATTATTATAAAATGAATATAAAAGACTGATGTAAAGAATAAATGAACATTTAACATGGCATTTGGAGGGCTACTGGCTCTGAAAAGGAAAGGAAGCAATGGAATTGTTTGGCTAGACATGAGGGGTAATACTCACACAATGAAAAACAATGCCACGCTGAGCAGGAAAATGCATGGGTCACCTTTTGTTTTTGCAAAATTAGCAGCGAGATCACATGAGCGATCCAACAAAAACCGAAACAAATTTTTTGCAGAAAAAATCGGCAAAAAACGAAACAAATGATAACCAAAGTCAACAAAAACTGAGGTATTACTGTATAAAATTTATATACATTACAATCTTAATAACTTTAATCTTTATAATTATTATATACAAATTTGGTTTTTTAGAGTCAGAATATGTGCAAAACTCCAGCAATAAAACTTATTAAAACAAAAACGTTTTTGATCTGATTGACAATAGAAGCAGATATGTCAATCTGAATAAATCAAACAATTCTATTCAAATGTATTTTAGATTTAAAAAGAAAAACGAACAATAACAGTTGAATATGTGATTACAATGTATTATTATTAAAGAATAAATTAATGATAAATTAAAAATTTAAGTCATATATAATTAGAAAGTAAAAATGCTAAATAAATTAACATGCAAAATGAAAATATTTCGTATAGTAACCTCCATGCTTTTTATATTTTTAACTACAAAATGGCAAAAAGCCTAATTTTCAGACTAGGGATGACTTTCATAAAAAACTGTAAATGGTAATAACAAGTAAAATTGTCATTAAGTCCACCCTACTGGAGATATACACAATCCCCTTTATCACCATGCTGTTTCTAAGGTATCCACATCACAGTAATTAATGCATCTGTGCTAAATTTCCTTGTAGATTTCCATTTTATTTAGTATTTTTATTTTCTACTTACATATTATTTGAATTTTTAATTTTATTATTAACCTTTTGTCAGGTGTGACCCCATTCTGAGGATGGTATTTTTTTTCTTACATACAGCACCAATTCCAAGTGCAAGTGATCAGCCTGAAGGGGAAGTACTTTCAAAGGGATGAGTGCACTAAATAACACAGGAGTGTTTTGGTTTCAGAAAACAGTTGTTTTTCCAGAAGAAAAACATACAACCCTTCCTCATTATGCATTTCACCTGCTTGCATTATGGTGGATGTATGGAAAAGATGTAAGTAATTCTTTCATTTTTTATTTTATTTTTTAACCTTTTTACCTTACTTTTATTAGTAAACACTAAAAATTAAAAAATCCAGTAATGAGTTCCTTAACTTTCCCAGTAACATTTAAAACTGCATGTCATCTGTTATGATATTTTATTTTAAAAAGTTTTTATATTTTTAAATACTATAAAATGGCAAAAAACTTAATTTTTAGGGTAGGGATGACTTTCATAAAAAATTGTAAATAATAAAAAGTAAAATTGTCATTAAGTCCAACCCTACAGGAGATACACATGACCTCCTTTATTTCCCACCCTTCTCGACCTTTAATCACCAAAATTTAATAGCATCATTCCCCCTAATAAACAAACCTCCCTGCAAAATTTCAGAAATTTTCAACAAAAAGCACAGGAGTTATTATGCTTTAAACAGGATGAACAAAATCATGCCTTTCCCACATATATACTCTAACATATAGACATATAGAAAAAACTCCCAAATTTTTTTGCGTATCTCGATGTTTCAAGGTGTCCTGAGCCCAAAAATGTAAAAATCATAAGGGGTCATTTTTTGACTGATTGCCATACTTTCTTTCTGTATATTTTTTTCATCAGTTGATGTAGATGGTTAATGAAAAAGTCTGCATAATGGAATATGAAACAGATGTTATATGAAGATTTTTGCTCTTATGTTTCCAGAAGCTTTCTTGAAGACAAATCATTGAATTCAAAGCAGTTAAAGCAGCTTTCTATGCAATTTTGAAAAGTTTTTAACTCCATTAATAATACAGAAAAACATAACACACAACTCCATTGTTTATATTTTGTGGAGTTCTGAAATAATGAAGTGTGTATGATAATAAAGTCTGTATAATCAGTCACCTTATATTTCTGGATAATAAGTTCTCTACAGCAATTTTATGCTCATTTTCAACAAAAAAGTTTTGTTATAAAATTTTGAATGAAACAAATTACCTTTTTGCAAATCTTTGTTCATTTAAAGACATTAAATCAGGTCTCTTTTTAACCTCTTCTAAATAGTGTGCTCCATATTTTTCAATCTATAAAATTAATTGTTTGATGCATTTATTACTTTAATGTATATAATTTAGTGAGAAATGATACTTACAATAACAGAATTAGTATTTACTATAAATCATAAACATTAAATATTACAGTCAAAATCAAAATAAAAATTTTATAGTAATACTTACTTTCTTTAATCGAATTCTTAAATAATTATTGATGATGTAACTTATGCGAGTCAACTAAAATATTACAAAATAGAAATAATTAAACAGAATGAACAATTAATTAATTCATATTTTAATAAATATATCAATTGTGTTTATTATAAAGTATGTAAAAAAATATAATTAAATTTATTGATCATACTTAAAATTAAACAACATTTACCATAAAATTACAACTTATATTTGGACAATAAACATTCACTTCTTGATAACAATAAATATTTTAATACAGTGGATGATCAGTTAACAAATAGTTTGGACAACAAATACTTTCACAAAAGATTTTTATGTTTCGATAATGAACATCTCACAGAACAAACACAAGAAGAAGAGATGCTGTGTTTAAAATTTATAAACCTATATTTTACTAGCATCTATGAATGGTTTATGAAACTTTCACAGTTATATACTTAAAAGTTAATCTTTTTTGCACTGGTTGATTTCTGTTCTCTGAATCTTTGTACATGCTCTGTTGAACTTTTTATTTAAAAAGACTGATAATATTATGACACCTAAAAAGAGTGGAGTGTCATGAATTGTGTTCACTATAGAAACTAAGCAAGAGATAATAGCCAAAGTAAAGAGTGGGAAGAAGATGTCTGATGTTACTGTACAGTATGGCTTCAACAGGTCTACAGTAGGACAATCTTAGCTAAGACAGATATAAATGAAAAATCACATCTGAGAAACAAAGATGTGCCATCCATGAAAAAAAAAAGGAGAGATTGCTTTTAGTTTGTTATTACATACAAATAAATGTAGTAATAAATTATATAATTTTTTATTCATTTTTTGGAATCTCCAGAATGAATTAATCAAATTCCCATAAAAATCTAAGGAAAATTGATAATCGAATATTGTCTTTGAACAGATTATGTTTGTTAACCGATCACCCACTGTATTTACTTTTATACTTTATACTTTTGAGACTATAATTACAGATGCTAAATTAAATTTTACCTCCATTTTATGAATCATTATACGGAAATCAGCTTTTTTAGAACTTTTAAGAAGATTTTCTTCCATATGTTGTACTTGATCCAGCATACAATCAACTAATTCACTTTCATATGGCAAAAGTTCAGGCGCAAGACTTTCATTCAACCATACCTTTATCACAAATAATAATTGATTAGAATACTTAGATTTTAGTTCTAAGTATTGAAACATTTTTGTTTAAAATTCTCTACAGAATTGTTAATTTTAAAAATATTTTAATTTATTAACATTTATCACATTTTATTCATATCTATGCTGAAGTCACCTGATATGAGGCTGAAAATGTTTTTTAATAAATATTTTTGTAAGTAACTATTCAGATTAATGATAATGACGCACAATTACACAGATTTACAACTTGCTCTAGCCACTCATTGTGTCTGGGCAGACCGACTTGTTGTGCATGTCACTAATTCATACATTATTCCATATATGAATAACCATCTTGAATTGGTTAAGAACCTGATGCAGAGCCCAGAAAAGATTTGAAAACATTTGTTTTTTTTGTTGTTTTGTTACCACATTGTAATTGGTTCCGAGTGTGTCATTAAATATTTTTGTTTTTCTAAAACAGGTAGTTTTGTTTTTTTATTAGTATTATTAGTGTTGTGCCAATTTTTTACTTTTTCAATCATAAATGATAAAATTTAAAATTAAAAGTAATTGATTTTGCAAAAAATTTATCTAATATTGGTCAGTTGATCAGCTCTACTATTTAACAGATTTCTTTTAGATTTTAATGTTGAAATCAAAATTTTTCAAATTTTGCATAAAGAATAATAGACCTCAGTTCTAATATAACATAAATACAGGGGTGTAATCATAAATTAAAAAGTGCCAGAGTGCTAACTGGGACTCTGAGTTTGAATCATCACTGTTTATGGCAGCACCACCATCTATGTAATTTTGTGTGGGCAAAGTGCAACTTTGTGGCACAATATCTGCAAAATGGCTTAAATGTGTCAAAAATTACCCAAATATTCATAATCTACACAAAAGACTGTATAAGAAGCAATTTTCTCAGTTTTTTTTTGGTCAAGATACATAATCTAAAGCCCAACCTAGATGCTCACAAAGTTAAAGGGCTTTACCTGCTTAAAGAAAAAGTACCAGAATGATGCCCTGATACACCCTAGTACCACTACAATGCTGCTTATATATATACATATATGTATAAAATTCAGATTTTTCAAATTGTTTACTTGCATATACAATTTTTAAAATTCTACATTACATTAAAGTTCAAATTAGGTGAAATGATCTAAAAGCCTATAATTTTAGTTACTTAGCAATTCAAGCTATCAGATTTTAACTTTATTTTTAATCTATGAAGACACAAATAATACCTCTTCTAATTTCTGTAGTACTGCACCAGGTGTTGTTAATTCCTCTTGATTTTCACCTTCTTCCATAAAGTCATAAGAATCTCCATCCATTTTTCACTTCCAAATTCTCTTACGTTATTAAAAATACATATATTCAAGCATTATTATATTATTAATAAAGAATAAATACTACTTAAAATTCTTATATTAAATATACTTAATAATTAAGCCTGCGTTAATTACAACTGTTAACGAATATCTCAACGGGTACTATTCCTTTAACAAATAAAACTTATATTGTAAAATAACTAGATTGTTTTCATTTCGATTCAAAGTTAAATTTTCTTGTTCCGTTTGTAATGGATATTATTTAAGTTTTAAATAACTTTTAAATAACACAAAGAACGCGTAAACAATGAAAACAACACGTTTTTCTATTTTGCCGCCAAACCGTAATTGAGGATTTCGCAAACGTGTTATCAGCGCTCCTACCGATCGTTTTCGCAAACTCAGTTTTTTCCAAGATGTCGTCGAAGAACAAGCCGAGGAAAATGAGAGAATTGTCGCAATCTCAAGCCAAAGAACATATCATGGCCGTAAAAAGAGATTATATATCTCAGCCGAGATTAAGTAAGTTATTTAATCTGCAAATAAATTTGGTTACGTGATCTTACATAAATCAATATAAATAATCAAATTTAAATAAAGTGTTTCAGATAATTGTGTGTGAAATTTAATAATATATAGGCTTGATGAATATGTTATTAAAATCTCTTTCTCTTGAATTTTCTCCATAACGAAATCTAGTACTGTATTAGCATCTATCATATATTCAGTTGTTTTAGCAGTTCTATTTATTTATTTATTTATACCAGGAATAATTAAGATTGAAAAAAATTGTCAAAAACATTTAAAAGACGAGAAATAAAATGAAGGTGATGATTATGAAAAAGTTAGCTCTCGGCTTCATTCATTTGTATAAAAAATTTATATGTAAACTGTCAATTAATATTTATTCACAGATGTGAACATTGGAAGAACTATTGTACAATTGTTTTGTAATGGTTTGGATAAACTGGGACCTGTGACCGAAGGGCTCAAACATGTCGGGTAAAAATTGTTTTGATTGTGGTTCCGGTGATTCTTATTTGCTTTTTTGACAATGAAAGGCATTTTTGGGAAATTTGAGTACCATCTTTTGCAGCAAGGAGTAGGGCCCATATTAGAATTTCAAACTGTAGCCCTAAGTGAAGTTGTTCTGTTTCCGGATGTACAGTACATATATATGATTCTCTTCTTCCATAAAATAAACTCTAAAATTTTTATACTACTATTAATATAAATGTTACTTGGTTTATTTATTTATTTATTTTTGTAAGAACAGCATATTCAAAGCTTTTTTTTCCTGCTATTTTTAATGTTTAAACAACATTACTTGACTAAAGTTGACTATTTATCCCTGCATCAGAAAATGGTTTAATTGTGTGTACTGTATTTTGTTACTAAAATTGCTATTAATAAATTATTCCAAAAAATTAAATATGATGTTATGATTATATTATAATTATTTATAGTGAACAACAGTTCTAATTTATAATTTCAGTTGTTAAAATTTCCAGGAACTAATGATATTCATGTACTTTGTTTATATGCTTTTGCTTTTTAAAATATTTCACTATTGTGTATTTAATTATAAAAACAACTAATGTATGACTTTTTTCATTGTAGTAGTAGTAAAAATAGAGTTGTATAAGAACTTTTTTTATTATTTGATAAAATTGTAGACCTATAAATTCCCACTGTCATCTGTCCAACTGTCTGTCTGATCTTCCTTAATCTTGAGAACAGTGTTAGATAGACGAAAGTTGAGACCAGATATGAGACTTCAATTAGCTCTATAGAAATCATAAACTTCCAGATGTTTGTGATTTCAATTCAAAAATTTTGCACAGAACAGAGTTACATAGATAACACATGATTCTGTTGTTATCAGGAAAAGTATGATGTACAGGGGCAAGACACTAATGATTTGAGATCCAGATCATGTATTTTAAATTAAATAAATTAAAACATGATTAAAAATTGCAGTCTGGCATTGTGACAATGTCATAATAATTTTTGTTTTAATCCTTACTTTGTATTGTGTATAGGAAATATCTAATATAAAACTGAATCTTTAAAATTTAAATGTTAAGATTCAGTATAAATGAGTCACAAATAACTGTGATGATAACAGAAAACAATTTATTTCTAATTCCAGATGTTTCAAATTTGTTTGTATCATATTAAAAGAATTCAAATGTAAATTTTAAAATAAACTATAACTGCACCTTTAGTTTCAACTAAATTTTATAAAGTACATGAAGTTTATGTACAGTGTTAAAAAACAAATTATGTGCAAACAATATTATTAACATTGTTTTTACATAATTTATTTTATTTTATATTTAAGAATTTCTTGGTGCAAATGCATCAAAACTTTTAAATTTGTTCATTATGCCATTATATAGAGACTATCCATTACTTTTTAATTGGGTTGCATTTGAAAAAATTGTAGCTCAATTAAAAAGATGCAATTTGGAAAAATTGTAGACTTACAAATTCCCACTGTCGTCTATCTGTCTTTTCTTAATCTCGAGCAGTGCTGTAACTAGGGCAGTGACCAGGCACAGGACACAGAAATGACCTGGACCAAGTTCTGAGTCATAGTTTTGGGGCATAGTTACAGAAGCTTGCACCAGGCACATAAAAGGCTAGTTACAGTGCTGATCTTGAGAATGGAATTAGATAGATGAAAGCCAAGACCAGATATGGAACCTTAGGGGCAGAAGGCCCTGATTAACTATACAGTTGACCCCCCTATAACACGGTAGATACGTTCCGAGTTTTATGAATCCAGCTTTTACGAGTCCAGTCAATCACAGCCCGGCACATATGCAGTTTATGGACTATGGCTGTTTGAAAGGTTTCTTCCATAAAATTAATCGATTCATTTCTAAAATACGTATAATTTTTTGGGAATAATCCATATAAACTATACTATAAACAAAAAATTGTAGGATTACTTACCAACTGTGCATCGTTCAACCACACCGTTGCTTAAGCTTGTTTTTGTTGTGGAAATTGTCATCGAATGGTGCTCACGTGCTTCCCGATAAATTATTTTTTTGCGAAAAATTCGCTGAACTTTAGAGACATCATTAATAGAAATATAATTTTTATGGACGTTAAATAATAAGTAGTTTTTACTAGGTCTGCTGCTCATTTAAATGCAAGGTTTGTGCAATCCTGTCGCGACACGAGTCAGCGATGACGTTTTACCGAATTATAGGAGTTGTTTATCATGTTTATACGAATACTGTCGCAATTTTTTCGCCATGATATAGGAATCTGAACTATAGGAACCTATGTTATAGGGGGTCTACTGTATATGAACTGATGGTGCAAACTGGAAGTCACATTATTTTAATTCAAAAAGTTTCCCTTGAAAGGAGTTAAATAGATGATGACTGGCAAACTCTATTGCTAACAGGAAAAGTATGATGTAAAAGGGTAAGCCGCCACTAATTTGAAATGGAGAGCATATATTTTAAATTAAAAATATGATTAAAAATTGCAGAAATTTTTATGATGTCACAATAAAAAATTGTTTGTTTTATTTTCTGTTTTATTTTTTTCTCCTCTTCATCCTCTTTCTCCCCAACTAAAATGAGATTATTTAGATGAATAATTTAACTTTCAGAAAGAATTTTATCTGAATATCAAATACATGTGTTTAGTATTTGGCCAAATACCGAATAGTTACTTTGTGGTCAAATATAGCTGAATACTGAATAATGCTGAATATTTGGTCCAATTCCAGTACATTGAAAGAATGATTAAATTCTGTTAAGATTAGAAAAAATGAGATCTACATTATATCAGAAGATTTTGTTTTCTGAAACCATCTTTTAATATTTATTGACTGTTGAACACAAGATTGTGTTATTAATTAAACACTTGGCTTTTTTCATCTTTATTCAGTTGAACACTTGGCTTTTTTCCATCTTTATTCAGTCAACTGAATAAAGATGGAAAAAAGCCAAGTGTTTAATTAATAACACAATCTTGTGTTCAACAGTCAATATCAGAAGATTGTTAATTTATGCGAAATTGGAGTAATTTTTATGAATATAGTGAGATTTGTTAGAGATTTTTGCCTGAATCTTGCATCTGATAGTTGTGTGAGAATCTGGATGTCATATAAGGATTTTGAAGCATAAAAAGTCGAATAGACTTTTCCCCTTTCCGTTATTTCCGATTATTTCTCCCATTTTCACCCCGTTGCCCGAGGAATAGTCCCCGGACAAAGTTAGAAACAACGCAATTAACTGACCTTGAAGGACGAAGTCGTCTAGGTCAACCGCGGAAGCTCCCCGGAGAACCGCAGGGTGCGGATATAGTATAGAAGATTTCCTAAAAAGGTCATCTGTACGATGAGAAACATTACCTAAAATGGTAAGTCATCTCCCTAGGTGATGACGAATTTAACATTAATTGGTCAAGCGATGTCTGCATTGTCGTCACCCACGACGGGGGAGACTGTCATAAATCTGGAGAACTGTCAAAAGAGTAGCAGATTTTCCCACGCTAAAGAGTATATAAAGGGGTCGGATTTTCTACTCGGCGCTGAGCCAGGGTGCTTAAGCCGAAGAAACCCCTCTGCAAACCTCAAGAGCGATCGTCGGGGAAGAAACATCGACGCAAGATCTGCCAGCACTCTCAGGATCTACGAAGCTCATAATCGCCGCTCCATGCAAAGGTAAAAACTTTGAATATTTTTCTATTCTCTCCATATACGACGGAATTACTCCTCGAAGAGGTTAACAGAAGAAACCTCCGAGCGAACTTCACCAGGAAGAACTTTCTACAGATTAGGAGCGACGGAGCATACACCGTAGAAGGACATCGCTCCACATAACCTTCAAAGGAACCTCAGAAAACAAGGCGACGGACACAGAGTGTTTTATTAACGCCCTAAATTGGAGAACGTTGCCTACGAGGTAAACCCTTGCGATTATAATTTATCTCTCTCTAACGTGAGCTCTCTCTCGGATTTTAGCGTTAGGTTAGAATAGTTTTTTTTGAATACCTATTTATATCTTGATTCACATATGTTGTATTTAACATCTTTGTGTAATTTTTCTTAGTTATTTATTAAATGTGTTCGTTAATTTTAAACCCGTGTAGTCCTTTGGACACCTGGTCACGACTTCCAACTCCTCCCCACTCATATTTTTAGCCCTCCTATTGCCATCCGACAACCGAGAGCGGGTCTTTCCGACCCGTGCAGATTAAGTGGTCATTAGGCTTTAACCCAGTGGCCCCCTGCTACTCACATATTGGTGACCCAGGAGTGGGGTCTCAGAACTTAAAACCTCCCGTAGAAACTACATATTGGTATCACAGGAGTAGGGATCTCTGAATTCCAGGTGTTATAAAAACTCACCAGGTTTACAGGAGTGGAATTTTTGTCGTATCTGACAGGTCCGTCTACACAGGGTCCGCGGAAAGCAAGCTGTCCGCCTTAAACAGGTTTCTAAAAAGTCATAAGGACTTGCTTTAAAGTTTCTAAATTCTAAATTTTAGCATAAAAATGGCAGAAGCAGGTGAAAATCCTCGTATCACTCCAGCAGGTAACCCCATAACAATAGGAGGTTTAGGGGGAATGATTCCCTTATTGCCAATATTTTCGGGTGATCCGTCTGGAACTAAAATTACAGAGTTTTTCGATACTCTTGCCGATGTAATGAGGATTGCAGCTTGGTCTAAAGCGCAAATCTTAGCTGTCGCAAAGCTTAAATTGACAGGAATAGCGCGAGAATTTGTTAGAAAAGATAGGCGAATAAAAGAGGTTGAGGATTTTGATACTTTTAAAAAAATTATGATCGAACGATTTGAACGGGTTCCCTACACTTTAAGATTGAATAGATTTTATGGATGCGTGCAACAGAGAGGCGAAGATGTCCAAACATACGCAGTAAGATTGCAGGCATTGGCATCGGAGATAGAGATCTCACACGAGGGAACAGACGAAGCGGAAAGGGCCATAATTCGGCGAATACAAGATAGGGAATTAGACGAACGTTTGAGAGTTCAATTTCTGAATGGTATAAATGTGAAGTTGAAACAACGTGTCATGTCTAGAGAGCCAAGAACTTTTGATGAAGCACTAGAGGTAGCGATTAGTGAGGAGTCAATTGAGGAATTAACAAACCCTCCTCGCGGAATTATAAGAACGGTCACAGAAGCTCATTCCAAAGATTGGGAGCAGATAAAAAGTCAGATAAGAGATCTTGCGGCGCAAATAGAAAATTTGAATAGAGAATATTTTAATCCGCAATATAACTCGGAAAGACATATTAATCTACCCAAGAAACGACCACGAACTCATAGAGATATCCATTTTCAGGATGCAGAAGAGACGAAGTGGAAAGGTAGAATAGGTTTGACATATATCCCATGTAGTTCAGTTAAGGACAAGGGTTGTCGAGCAAGCGAACACTCGCATATAAAACATGCTAAGAATTTTAGCGAGAAAAAGCTACAAAATAAGGGAATAGGAAGAATCGGATTGATTCGATCGAAACAAAAACCCATTGTTTTGGTATACATTAATAATATTCCGGTCAAGATGCAAATAGATCCCAGTTTAGAATGTACAATTATATCGAATGAATTGGCAAATCAACTTAAGGGTATGTAAAATTTGGTAGTAAGAAAAAGATTAATAGAGTTAATGGAGAGAAGATTAAAACATTAGGTATAGTCTCACCTGTTTTTAAATTCCGAGGGTATAAATTCGTTCATACATGTAGAATAGTTAGACCGGACAGTACAGGTCCTTGTCTAGGAATTATAGGAAACGATATTCTTAATGCACATGGATTTCATATAGAAAGCTCAAAGGAACATATTTTATTACCTAACGGGAAAATGATGCATTTTTGTTCGGCGATGGCACCGCACCGCGCTGTAAGGAGACAAGAAAGAGAAATACCCGCTAAAGTAGGTATTATTAGAATGAATACGCCAATAGTTACACAACATAGGTTGCCCTATAGGCCAAATCGCATAAAAGCGAAAAAAGAGTTTAAAAAGCGAAGCATTACTTTGCCCAAGCAGGAAACCGTTCCAATAATTCGAGAAAATTTCGCGCGGAGAAAGTCGCGGCGAAAGAAAGGAAGACGGCCACATTCTACCGTCATTCCTGTCCAAATTCAATCTCCACGGAAGGAGAAAAATTTAAACCAAAAAGAAATTAGATATCCTTTCCTAGCAGAAAAGCGGAATACACGAGAGTTGGGTAGAGAGGAAATGAAGAGCCCTTCCGAACCGCTGTTAAGGGAAGAATCTTTATTTGCTGGAATGATGGATTATATTAATCGAATAAAATTTAAATCGCGGTTCGGCAAAATCCAAAATTGACAGATAGGAAATAAGAGTTAGTTAAGTTTCTCGATTCAGAAGGAGAGAAAAGAATGGAGAGAAAAGTGAGACAGAACACCGGAAGTGTATACGATAAGGCTGACGGTAGTGAAGAAACTTTATAGTGAGCTGACTGGACGAGCCAGCGGTCTGATGAAGGAGCCCATATTCAAGTTGGTCATTGTTATTAGGTATATATGTCGATTTCTTACAAAATTGTACGCGTTACTCGACCACCTCTTATCATTTTGTGACGCGAACGCGACTCGGAATTCTAGAATGTACGCGAATGTCAGTCATTTTGTTTTTCGAAAGCATACGCGACGCGAAGTTAGTTTTAGAGATAATTAGGATAATTAGTAGAGTATAGCGTTAGAGAACAGAATGAGAGAGAGAGAGATTGGAAATCCGAAGGAAAAGGAACCTATATAGAATGCTTCAGGTCAACGACCCAGGTCGGAAGCCAACGAAATATACGGTTCTTCCGGTCCCACGAAGGTCGACACCACTATACGTCGGATATCGTCTAAAGGGCAATATTTATTTAGAAGCAAAGGGACAAGCAACCAAGGAAAATGCAACCTACCTGATGTAGCCAAAATTGTTGCGAATATTAGTTTTGCCTTCGGCCGGATGAGAAACATCATCTCGGATTCCACAACGAAAAAGAAAAATCACACCAAAAAGGTGAGCGATTTTTAGAAAAGTGGGGGATAGTGTGAGAATCTGGATGTCATATAAGGATTTTGAAGAATAAAAAGTCGAATAGACTTTTCCCCTTTCCGTTATTTCCGATTATTTCTCCCATTTTCACCCCGTTGCCCGAGGAATAGTCCCCGGACAAAGTTAGAAACAACGCAATTAACTGACCTTGAAGGACGAAGTCGTCTAGGTCAACCGCGGAAGCTCCCCGGAGAACCGCAGGGTGTGGATATAGTATAGAAGATTTCCTAAAAAGGTCATCTGTACGATGAGAAACATTACCTAAAATGGTAAGTCATCTCCCTAGGTGATGACGAATTTAACATTAATTGGTCAAGCGATGTCTGCATTGTCGTCACCCACGACGGGGGAGACTGTCATAAATCTGGAGAACTGTCAAAAGAGTAGCAGATTTTCCCACGCTAAAGAGTATATAAAGGGGTCGGATTTTCTACTCGGCGCTGAGCCAGGGTGCTTAAGCCGAAGAAACCCCTCTGCAAACCTCAAGAGCGATCGTCGGGGAAGAAACATCGACGCAAGATCTGCCAGCACTCTCAGGATCTACGAAGCTCATAATCGCCGCTCCATGCAAAGGTAAAAACTTTGAATATTTTTCTATTCTCTCCATATACGACGGAATTACTCCTCAAAGAGGTTAACAGAAGAAACCTTCGAGCGAACTTCACCAGGAAGAACCTTCTACAGATTAGGAGCGACGGAGCATACACCGTAGAAGGACATCGCTCCACATAACCTTCAAAGGAACCTCAGAAAACAAGTCGAAGATCACAGAGTGTTTTATTAACGCCCTATAATTGGAGAACGTTGTCTTTGAGGTAAACCCTTGCGCTTATAATTTATCTCTCTCTAACGTGAGCTCTCTCTCGGATTTTAGCGTTAGGTTAGAATAGTTTTTAGAATACCTATTTATATCTTGATTCACATATGTTGTATTTAACATCTTTGTGTAAATTTTCTTAGTTATTTATTAAATGTGTTCGTTAATTTAAACCCGTGTAGTCTTTTGGACACCTGGTCACGACTTCCAACTCCTCCCCACTCATATTTTCAGCCCTCCTATTGCCATCCGACAACCGAGAGCGGGTCTTCCCGACCCGTGCAGATTAAATGGTCATTAGGGTTCGACCCAATGACCCCCTGCTACTCACAGTTGTGTTAAACTGATTTTGATGGCAAGAAGTTTGTGTTACGAATGTTTGAACAAAATAAGTTTATGAAAACTTATGTAAATGTGTACTTCTACAAGTTAGATTTATATCCAGCATAGGTACTTGCAATTCTTAGCAGTTTAGTAGATATCATTAATGGTAATACTTCTCAAATATTTCTCTAATTTTTGGTTTATATGTTGAAGTGATGGTTAATTAAAGTGGTAAAGTGTTATCTGATTGTTCTGAGGGACTTACTTTCAAGCATTGAGAATTTTTCATGGACAGTTCACCTTGGATATGCTGCACCCTGTCTAGCCAATCATCTAGCTGATATTACAGTAGGCATTGAAAAAAGCCCTTTTAATGCCCACAGGGCTGAAAGAGTTTAAAAAAGTCTCTCTTTTCCCATATTTGGCTGAACTACATACGAAAACTTTTATCTTTTAAAAATACTGTATAACAATACATAATACTAAATTTGTAATATTATAGAAGTAGCAACTTAAACTAAATTTATGAAAAATTAAACTATTCTTAATTTGCACTTTATCTTTGTAATACTGTTTTAGATTTTTTCATTATCTTTGATAAAAATCTTTAATATATATATATCAATTAATTTACTTTAAAATAACTTAACTTGAACATAGATTAATTCATAAATTTATTATTTTTTAATTCAATTAGAATTTGAAATTTTTATTATTTAATTACTATTTTAAAATTTGAATTGTGTTTTTATGTTAATAGCTTATAGGACTGTCACTGGAGTCAATGGCCCATTAGTAATATTGGATTCTGTTAAGGTAAATCATTAATTTTTTGTTTTTTTGAATGACCTTTATACTATATATTAATTTTCTTAAAATATATGTACATTTAACAACATATTTGATAATATTTAGCTGAAAAGTAATACAGAAAGTCCTCACTTAATGTTGTTTTTTATAACATTGTTGAGGAAAGATACAAGTACATTTGTAATCATTTACAATTATTATTATTATTAAATTTTCTTCATAAACAGTAAAATTGATTCTGTTAGGTTAAAAATAAATGCTGGATTGAACATCAACAGAGGGAATCCCTTTGTGGATTGAGGAAAAAATTCCATAAATTATAATTGTAAGTGATTAAGATATATAGCTTTACACTCTCAACTATAAGATGCTTTGTATTGATGTAATACTGTATTCTACAGGGTGTCTCAAAAATTTCCATCCATACAAAGGTGAAATATAACTTTATTCACAAAACATTAAAATGTCAGCATTAACCTTTGTCAGTGGATTGACAGAGTAAAGCAACAGAACACATGGGTGATCTGCAAATAGGGTAACTTCTAGCAGGACTTCCTATGTGGAAACTGGATTCTGTTTAGGTGTTAGACACATGAAGAAAACCCAGAACACTGCATGATGGCCAGCCAATTGGTCTGGCATGAACTGATGACCAACTACCAGTGTTACTAACTTCAATGGTTTTATTTATTCAGCCACTGGTGGGCTTGATTTGTGTCACTGTATGGGGACTTTTGAGACACCCTGTATAATCTACTTGTGAAAAAAAATCTAAAATAATTAAATACAAATTTATTGGTGTAATAATTTCCTTCTAAACTTTGAAAATTTTCTGTGGACACCCATGATGCTGGAGATTGCAAACATATTCCACTTAGAATAACAACACATCTTTATCCCAACACCGGAGAATACTAACAAAAACTCTTCCTAACCCATTACCGGTGTGTTCTCCTTCTTCTAAAACTCGTAACCAACCAAAAATAGATTTTACTAATGTTTTGAACCCCAATGACAGTTCTTCTTCAGGTATTTTGAATCTCTGATGGAAATGCAGCTCGTAAAATTTCAAATTCGAAAATATGTACGTTTGAATATACGCTTCCATTTTACATCATTGTTTATCATGTGCAGTCGATTCCAATACGGCTATCATAAATTACTGTTCATAAGCGCTTGCCAGGCTACTGATAGTGTAACTTTATGGTTGATACAATGATTATCCTTAAGGTTAGCTAAATATATGCTGGCCTCCTCCAGCCACTTGGAATGTTGTATGTGCCGTGTGGTGCGGATAATTCTGGATTTCTTAAATTTAGGGTCTATATTTGGATCCGACGCATAAATTGCCAGAGCCGCCGTATTCCTTTGTTTCTGAATATCCACAGCATGTTCTTTCAGTCTAATCTCTAAGGATTGTTTGGTGGAGCCCACATATACAAGGCTTATATCGCATCTGCGATCTATAATCGGTATGCTGTAGACCCCTGACAGCTTATCCTTATCTGGTTGATCTTTCCGTTGGTTAGGATGTTAAATATCGAAGCACATCTTCTATAGGCGATACGAATACAGTTCTTTTTAGCTATCTTGCCATATAGCCCTCTAATATATGGATTATAAGTGACTGGAATGATCTTATCTAAATCTTGTTGTTCCTCCCTTTGTGGTATATCTTGAGCCGGGTTTTGGTATCCATGTATTAACTTGCGTATGAGGTTGTTGTATCCGTGCTCAGAGGCTATTCGATGTGTAAGCCTTAACTCCAACTGTAGGGCTCACTCAGTAGAAGAGCGTGTGTGTGCTCTCTTAATTAGGGCTTTAAATGGCACAACCTTATACTGTGGTAGGTCACATGACCCTACTGGTATGTATATGCCCTGTGCTTCTAACTTTCGGTACACTGCAGTGTGAATTACGGCCTCTTCTATCTTGATGTCAATATCTAGGAAGTGTACATTCACCTAGTGTGCTTGTTCTATTTCTATGGTAATCCATATGTGTTATCATTCATAGTGTTGACAAAAACTTTGATGTCTGGTATTTCTTTCACAATATGATAATATTGTGAAAGAATATTGTGAATTACGGCCTCTTCTACCTTGATGTCAATATCTAGGAAGTGTACACTTCCTAGATATTGACATTAAGGTAGAAGAGGCCATAATTCACACTGCAGCGTACTGAAAGTTAGGAGCAATAACAGGCAAAATGATGGTGTTGCCAGTAAGTGAGATGGTAAGGATGGCAGTTTTGCCAAAATTTAGTATCAAATTATAATTCATTTAAAAAATTGCTCAAAATATCTGGAAGTAGTTGTCTTATAATTAAATATACTTGACTGTTGATTATTCATAACACATTCTATATTTGAGAAGCAGAGAGACATAGTTAATGTAGCTAATTGCTATAAAATCTAGCAACAAAAACTATTAATAAATATTTAAATATTTATCTAGAAATACTCAAACTTTTTAAATAAATAAATAATTTGTAGGACAAAAGAACAAACTCACTCACTTTTTGTTTGAGATTTTTGATAAATAATTTAATTACCAGACATTTGTTTTGAATTAATTTTATTATATTTATTTAAAATTCAAGCAATTAATTTCCATTATTAAAATATTCAAATACAGTGGAACCCCAGTTAACGAACGTAATTAGTTCCACGAGTCCGTTTGTTAACCGAAGCAATTTTTCCCATAGAAATTAATGCAAATATAATTAATCCATTCTAGCCGTCAGTATTTTGTAATTTTATTTGTAAAATGGGTTTTCTTTAATGAAAATATAGGAAAACGTGCTCATAAACAGTCGATCTAGGTTAAATTTTCGGAAAAAGGGAAAGATTTGATGAGTATAAAAACATCGATCGTTCAAGTTTTAAAATGACAGATAGCAGAAACAATAGGCTAAATTATGAGCGAAAGGTTTATAGGTTTATCAACAATCTCTGATCAGAATCGAAAAACAGGTGTCAAATAAACGCCTCGGAACAAACCTTTCTCGTGACCTGATCTGGTTTCGGTTTTCACCTGGAGACAAAGAAGAAAACAATCGGGAAGCGAGGAATGGGACGCAGATTAATCGTAAGGTGAGATTCAAGGAAAAAATACTATAAAAACCCTGAATATGTGTTAAATATTGTACGACTTCAGCCACCAGAGGGCGCACAAGCTCTATATATATACGATTGGCGGGCTTTCCAAAGCTCTCTTTCTTCTTTCTTTTGCTTTGTATGTGAGTGTTACCAATAAAGTAAGTTGTTAATATTACCAAAAGAGTCGTCTCCTCGTATTGGATTCTAACAGGTTATGGGCCCAGAAGAGCACAAATAGCTTCACCAAATCAGTCGACGAATAAGTTAAAAAAAAAAAAAAAGGATTTTACGAATCAGTCTTAAGCGTTAAGACAATGGAAAGCAATATGGCGACCACCTTACCGCAATTACGGGATGGAAACTTTTCTAACTGGAGATTTCGAGTAGAAATTATTTTAGAAGAAAAAGGGGTAAAAGACCTCGTTGGTGAACATGTAATAGAGACTGATGGAATAACTGAGACAGAAAAGAAAAGATTCATCGAAAGAGACGCCAAGGCCAGAAGCATAATTATACAGTGTCTAACGGACAGACATTTAGAATATGTTAAAGATTCGAAAACAGCTCGAGAAATGATGAAATCTCTTACGAACGTCTTTGAACGAAAAAGTACATTTTCTAAACTATATATAAGAAGAAAATTATTGTCACTTAAGTGCGGAGATGATGACTTACAGAATCACTTTGTAATATTTGACGGACTCATAAGGGAGTTGGAGTCGACCGGCACAATAATGGAAGATAGCGACAAGGTAAGCCACCTTCTTCTAACTATGCCTCAAAAATACGATACGGTAATAACGGCCCTTGAGACAATGACGACTAGTGTAATCTTGGAATTCGTAAAAAGTAGGCTATTAGATGCCGAACTTAAATTTAAAAATTCGGAACATGGAGAGAAGACTGAAAGTCTCCCTTGTTTTATAGGAGTGGGAAATAAAGGTTGTTTTATTTGCGGAGATCGTCGACATTTGAAATATAATTGTCCTAAAAGAGGAGAGAGTACTCACTCAGGCCATAATGCCAGAGGGAAAAGGAAAAGTGGTGGAAATAAAAGTAGAAGGATTTGGAGAAACAACTATCAGAATAATGGAAGTAACCAGAGAAACTATGAAGAAAGAGCAAATATCACATCACATGGCATGGAAATATCCTTTGTGGCATATAACATGGAACATGATGCAAACATTGGACAACAAAGCATCATACATTTCGTATTGGATTCAGGAGCAACAGAACACCTAGTTCAAGAGAATACTGCTACTTATATGACAGATATAGAAAGTTTAACCAAACCAATAAGCATAAATGTAGCAAATGGAGAAAAACTTCTAGCACAAAAAAGAGGCAAGATAAGACTATCTTATAATAATAAAAATATTGTTCTGACTGCTCTCATTGTACCAAAGATTTCCCATAACTTGTTATCTGTAATAAAAATCAATGACACTGGAAAAAGGGTTATCTTTGAAAGAAAAAAGGCTGTTATAATGCACAGAGATTTTCACATGGATTGTCCACTTACAGGAAGCCTGTTTATTGCAAAGTTTACCATAAGAAATAATATACAATGCCTCAAAACGGAAGCAAATGACTTGTGGCATAGAAGATTAGGCCACCTAAACTACCGTGATCTGAAAGTAATGAATCTGCCATGCCCCAACCAACCTTGTGGACCATGCATGAAGGGCAAAGCTACTAGATTACCATTCAAAAGGAATGAACACAGATCACACAGAATAGGAGAACTATTGNGCATTGTGTTCAAGAAGATTCATTTGTCTTAGAAAACATCTGGGTATATTCAAGACATCAGATTGTGTAATGCATAACTAATGCAATTTCATAATGTAAACCTTTTGAAATTGAGGGGTGGTGTTAAATATTGTACGACTTCAGCCACCAGAGGGCGCACAAGCTCTATATATATACGATTGGTGGGCTTTCCAAAGCTCTCTTTCTTCTTTCTTTTGCTTTGTATGTGAGTGTTACCAATAAAGTAAGTTGTTAATATTACCAAAAGAGTCGTCTCCTAGTATTGGATTCTAACAATATGAAGGTCAAAATGCAGTTTTCCTAAAAATTCTATGGCGATTAATTTGTGTTGTCTTCATCTGGATTAAGCCTGAAGTCGTGCCTGTTAAAATTTGTGTTGTGTCTCGTGAACCGCTCCGTCGTTGCAGCTCTGTCACCTACCATCACTTCTGTGACCAAGCAAACCCATCTTGTCCGCTCTGGGGCTACGACTGATCAACTTGCACTATCATAGGACCAGCGATACGCCACTCCTCAGTGCTGAGAGAAAATACTGTAGATAAGTCATTTCCAACCACCTCAAATATGTAAGCATCTTCTCGTTCTAATAAATGATTTTCACTGTAAAATACTTGTCATCTTTGTCTCCTCTGCCACCACCAACGTACGAATGGACCCTAGACCATCACCGACACACAATTAACTGATTTTCCCTAAAAGTTGGCAAGCTTATAAATTTGACACAAAAAGCCGTTAAGTTCGTTATTCGAGACAAAATTTTTGCAAAATAATAGTTCGTTAACCGATTTGGTCATTAACCAGGATGTTAGTTAACTGGGGTTCCACTACTATTTTCTCATGCTTCTGATGCTGGTAGTTTTTGTTTCTTTTAAAGAAAAATTTTTACAATTTAACTAAAATTATTAAATATAAACATCCATTAACCTGATTTTTAGATCAATACCATATGATTGCCAGATTACATCAGGCAATCATTTATTTATCATTAGTAAATGACTAAAGTTATGTTAGATTTAAATTTCAAAAATTATATTTTAAAGTATATTTGCTTTAAATATTTCTCATTTTTAAAGAACTGTTATTTTTATAGTTTCCAAAATATGCAGAAATTGTTCGCCTTATTCTTGCTGATGGAACTGCTAGAACTGGACAAGTGTTAGAAGTTGGTGGTTCTAAAGCAGTTGTACAGGTAATGTTGCTATGATTATATTCTGTTAATTTTAAAATATATGTTTTTTTCAACATTATACAATGTAAATATCTACAGTTTCTTAATTAAAGAGTTAAACACTGTAAACTAGTGGTGCCCAAACTTTTTTACTGGTGGACCAAATTGTGCATAACTTGTGAATAGGTAGGCCACAAGTATTTGGTATATTCCATATATACCAAATTAGGCCTATTTCTATCATTTAAGTGATATATCAAATATGTTTGTAGACTGGATTGTGTATCACAAGCCAGATTTATTCTGGGGGCTGTAGTTTGGGCACCACTGCTGTAAACTAATGGTAAACCAAAAGTATTTTTAAGAAGCATTTTTAACTGTATTCAAAATGTTTTAAAATAACACTAAATGACAAAAACAAAATATATAATAAAATATAGTGTACATTTGGGTAATTAAAAAACAAAAGTTTAGTTCATAACTTATTTCATTTACATTTTAAAATTTAAACATAATAATTTGTTTTAATAATAAATAAGATTTAAAGTCAAACCAAACGAACCACTGTATTATCAGGCTACAATAGGTTCTTAAGAATTAGATATGAAGTAATTTAACAAGAGATAGTGATTAGGATGCCATTTCATGATAAATTTAATAATTATAATCTTACAAGGGGACCTTACAGTCTCAGAAATTCAGTTTGGGATGAGACTTCACAGGTTAGTAGTATACCTCAAGGGTGCCCACCCAGAAGAATTGTAAAGTGCACTAGCCAGAAGATTCTGAGAAAAAGGGCTCTAAAATTTTAAGCGCAGCTCATACACTGGTCGATTTTACACTATGGCAGCACAGCGAAATGGCTGATTCTGTAGCGAACTCGCTTGCCACGCGGGCGATCTAGATTCGATCCTATCTTCAGCTAACTTTTTTTTATTTTTATTTTTAATTGATTTAAAAATTATAACAACTTTTAAATAAAGTTAATGACCTAAAAATATTATCAATTAAATCATAAATTATTTTTTGTATTTACTGGCACAATGAAGTGACTTTTCTTCAACACTAGGCAAGTTTCAATCTTTATTCAGTTAGAACGTTTTGCTATACATCTACGTTTCGGGCATTTGCCCCTCCTCAG